ATCTGTGCCCTACATACGAACGGTTCACGCTAGCCTGGAAAGTCTCCCTTCTTTCCAAAATGCTCTGGAGTCCCTTCCTCCCCACCCTTGCCTCCCACACTGGGCAGCACTGAAATACCCTGGACGGAGGTTTCTGGCCTCCATTCACGCCCGAGTGAAAACACCGAATAAGTACCAGGGTGAAACAATGTCACACTTCGCTCTTGTTACCTTGGAGAAACATGTCTCTGTTGAAAGTGAAAGCGAGAAAGGGCTGTGGGCCTGATAAAAAGCTGGGCAGGGAAGGCTGCCCGCAAGGTGGAGGAAGGTGGAGCAGGACTCTCTCCTGGGTCCCCAGGCCGGGACCTGAACCCTGAGTGACTCAGACCAGGCACGAAACTACAGAAATAATTTAGAGGCCGCGCCAGCATGTTGCTGTGGGGGTACAGAGCCCACTTCACCCAGCTGTCCTCGGAAGCAGAGCTGGGCAGGGGTGTGTGGAGGGTCCTCTGGTTAATTTGGATTTCCCTAACACAGGCACAGCACCAAAGCAAGGGGATGTTGCAGGCATTTTCCCCAACGGAAGTGCGCTGTGGGGTTGTTTGGGGCATTGACACCCATCAGCAGGTAGGGAAGATTGTATTACACAGATCTCGCTGTAATTGTTTCCAAGCCAAGTGCTATAAACTTAGAAGATTCAGTTAAACCAGGTAAGTAATCAAACCACAGTAAGGTAGGGCAACTTCCAGGTTTAAAGCAGCCAAACAGCTGGAAATCTCTCTCACGGTCTTATCATCAAAGGAAAACGTTTAGAAGTCTCATTTTTTTAAATCCATTTAATCTACTTGGCCTTCACAAACACTAAAAACACCTTAATCATAATAGCTTATATTCTGCATGGATTTTTTTAGAGTGAAAATTAAGGCTTCTGCTGACTGAGAAACTTCAAGTTACAAAGAAAAATGAGTTGGAGGTGAGGTGGGGAACCTTGGAGGCATTAATGATAAAAACGCGTTCAGGTGTCATACAGAGAAAGATTTCAGGGAAGCGGTGGCTCATTGGGAAGCTTGGCGCTTTACTGACCGAGGCTCTGGGATACACGTTGCCTAACCAGTAGCAAACAGCCCTCTCCAGATCATAACCCTGCCAGGCAAGAGCATTGGGGAGCACCTGTAGAGACAGCCCCAGTAACTAACTCCCTTTGGCAGGGTCTTCGCCCACGTTGTACCTCTCACCACGCCACCAAACCACCAGAAGAAAGAGGTACACGCAGTCTGGCGGTCACTGGTTGGGGCCGGGCTGCTCAGCACAGGAATTTGGCGTGGCTGTCCACCTGGCTCCTATTAGAGAGGATTACGGCTGTCAGCACACAAAAGAGGGAATGAAAAGTCCTGCGGGGGTCCGCGAGAGCGTGGTGGTGGCGTTATCCACCATATGTTTCTATAGCGCTGGATATTCTGTTGCGCTTGATCCGTGCAGAGGATGGATAGCATCTGTGGAACAGTAGCGTGGCTCTTTCCTACTGCTTTTCCTCCGTGGAGCTGAGATAAATGACAGCAGCAGCAGCATCATTCAGGCGAAGGTATACAGACAGGGGTAGTGCACCTGTGCGTACCGCAGATGGCTGGAGGGTTAGTGGGATTTCTATACGTGCAAGAAGGTGAACAACGCAACAGCGTTTTGGGATGTACAGTCTAGTCTTTGCTGGCAAGGCGGGAAGGATGTGTGCGGGAGAGTCGGCTCATGCTATGGAGTGGCTGCACGCGTATTTTGCGTTGCGGGACCGTGCTGGAGCACATGGCGGTGACGGGCACGCAGACAAGATGGCAGAGCTTGACAGTATCTCATCAGAGAGGTGCTGGTGCAAGGAGGTGGGCAGTCAGGGGCTGCACATGCCAGTAGGGGAGAGTTTGCTGACAGTCTGAGACACTCCGGCATGCGGCAGAGGCGATGGGATGGTGTTACGGAATACCTGCGTGCCCGGCGTACGCGTGGACGTATTTTTGGCGTGGTTTGGCAGACAAAGCACGGATCATGTTACAGGATCTGTAACGACCTGTTGCAGTCCGTAACAGTAAATCCTCCACTCGTGTTCTGGGATATTTCACTGCAGCGGGACGAAACGTGCACGTGCACTACCAGGCGTGGGACAGCGGAGGCGTTTGAGGAGGAACGAGCACAGTCGTTGACACCCACGTGTTTACAGGGAGAGATGGACAGGACTGTGCCTCTTTGTTGAGGTTAATAGTGTTACGAAAATGCTAAACGTGGGATAGGCGGCGTTATGGGATGTGATTTTGTTTAATGAGAAATTAATGATACAGTTGCACGTGCACTACCAGGCGTGGGACAGCGGAGGCGTTTGAGGAGGAACGAGCACAGTCGTTGACACCCACGTGTTTACAGGGAGAGATGGACAGGACTGTGCCTCTTTGTTGAGGTTAATAGTGTTACGAAAATGCTAAACGTGGGATAGGCGGCGTTATGGGATGTGATTTTGTTTAATGGGAAATTAATGATACAGTTGCACATGCATAATTGGGGTATATTTATACCCATGGACTGTTCACGTCCATATAAAGTGATGATGAGTTTCCTGGCAGAGCACCGCACCAGGGAGCGGCGTGCGGTGCTAGGTACGTGGTGACAGGGAGGAATGGAGTACACGGAGATGCTGTGTATCCCTGGGGTAGGGATAGTTCTGTAGGTACCAGTGGTTTGGAGAGGAGGAGGCCTTGCGTTGCAGGCCAGCCTGCGCGGTGGGGAGGCAACGGAAGTCACTGCGGGCTCCCCACACACACGCTGGCGGTGGCTGTGCTGCAGGGTGGATAGCCTCGGAGGGGCCCTGCAGCCCTGCGGGCACACGGGCAGAGCATGCGGGACGGGGCGTTGCGAGCCCCAGCCCGGTGTGTGCCCGAGGGCGAAGATGTGCCACACAGGCCGTACGCCCCTCTCAGGGCGTGGGACGGGGAAGGGGAGCGAGCGGGGCGCTCAGCCCCAAGATCCGGGGCTCCTGCAGCCCTGCGGGCACACGGGCAGAGCATGCGGGACGGGGCGTTGCGAGCCCCAGCCCGGTGTGTGCCCGAGGGCGAAGATGTGCCACACAGGCCGTACGCCCCTCTCAGGGCGTGGGACGGGGAAGGGGAGCGAGCGGGGCGCTCAGCCCCAAGATCCGGGGCCCTCGGGGGCCCACCAGCGCCTCCGGCCGGGGGAGGGTGGTGCCCGCTACGGGCCGCCCGGGGCCTGTGTGCGCGGGGGCGGTGGGGGG